ACTATCATACAAAATGTTATATGTTCTGTCATCATTGGAAACACCTTTTAGAACTTGTTGTTGTTATAAAGGATCTCAGAATAGGTTTACATGTGTTACAGAGAGGCATCACTCCCACCAACATGAAGCAGAAATAGAAAAAAAACATTATTTTCACAAGACATATTAAGTTTGAAAGTCAGCGATTTTATTTTGTCTTTTATAGAAAATACAGCGCAAGAAAAATATCTGGATTATCATTGATAGAAAGTCATTCACAGCTTTCGTCCTTTTCTATTCCGTTGAAGTAATCTATAGATTACACCCTTCGTCTCCTTTCCGGTTATATTCCACTCGATGCTTAGAACGGTGAGTGTCTAGATAAAATAATGAAAGTATAGACATCGTATATATATAACGAAAGAATTAGAGTTACTGTGTTGCGTTGTAATGCATTAGTCAAACATTGAGCACCGCCACGTTTGATAGAATTGTGATCAAGATCTAATGTGCCTAGTGTCTAGATGAGAAAGTGGAAGTAATTATAAAGCTTAGCTAAAGAAAAAACGTGAGTTACTGTATTCTGTGGTAATAAACCAGCCACAGATCGTGCGCCAGTACACCCAATTCGATTCTGACGAAGACTTAATGAGTTTAGTGTCTGGATGAAAAAGTAGAAAACAAAGTATAGATAAAGAGAAATTGTGAGTTACTGTATTGTGTCGTAATGCCTTAGCCAAAGATTGCGCCCCAATATGCCCGATGTCATTTACCCCGAGGTCCAGCGCGGTGAGCGTCTAAATGAAAGATGGAAGTAAAAACAAAGTAAAGATAAGAAAAATGTGAATTACTGTGTTGTGTTGTAATGCATCAGCTAAACATTGTGTTCCGACATCTCCAATTTCATTGTTGTAGAGAGAGAGCGTGTTGAGTGTCTAGATGAAAAAGTGAAGATGAAGTAACTACAGCAGTAGAATAAGTGTTAATCTGATCAATTATAGAGAGTATGGAAACCAATAGAAATATTTATAGGATTTTAGATGTTGTATAGTGTACGGTGATGGTTTGTTAAAATCTCGATCGAAAAAAAAGTACAAAATGGAACTAGGGCTAGAAGCTTTTGATTCATGAGTTACTGCAGCTTTAAAATGTTTTCTGAAAGAAGAAAAGAGTTTTGGCTTATAGAAAATAATTTTTAAATCACTTAAACATAAAAGAACTGTAAATTATATTGTTATGTGTTCGAATAGGAATGTACTCCAGGAAACTGTTTACAGTGTTGTGGAATATGATGCAACGCCCGTTAGTATTCTGTAGATATGCATTTTTCATGAGAACTTCATGTCAGATATAGAATTAGGCCTTACTGATCTTTATGATTTATATACATGAGAATATATATTGATTTTAGTAGTTGAATGCACGCTTAAATGTTGTATAAAAAATTTCGTCCTGGAGAAAGTATGCTTGAGATAAAATCTATTTTAGAAACATGAATGTGAACGTTATTGTGAATCAATCTTTTCTTCATTGACATCCTTCATCAACTGTACGACAGTCGTACATGTTGCTCTTAAACGAGTATTTGTCGAAATGTTCGGTGTTATATGAAATTGAAAAGAATGAAAAAAAGAATTTTGGGGAGAGATAAACTATTGTAGTAGAAAACAGTTTACCTGATATCGATCGTAGCTGTCTACGATGCTTCTGAACCGTTGACATACGTTTCTCATTGTCAACAGAATTGTGAGAGGCGATTGGTGATCCAGAATTCGGTAGACAAGATCTATATATATTGCTCTTTCTCTTATCATTAGAGAAGTGCATATTTGTTTTATTTCATAGATTTCACATGATGTTGTAATTACTTAAAGAAAGAAAAACGAAAAAGATAATGATAGAATCGAGATAACAGAGTCAGACGCGTGAAATCGATGAATTTTTTCTATAGTTTGATCTGTTATTGAATAAATTTGTTTGAGATATTAAAATTACACACAGAAATTTTTATTGGAACTATTTCTAATTACTTAACTTATAGTATGAATGAGGATACAGCGTTATAAACTATTAAACAATTTCACGAATATATTCTACACTCATTAATATTGATTTTGTTTGGACACTGATCTCAGCGACATCTACATGAAAAAAGAAAGCAATTCTTTGTTTCGATGTTTTCCCTTCATTGGAGGGAAAACATTTCAGTTTGTAATTCTAACGGTTTATCATACGTGTTTTTGTTTCAGATCTATTTCCTTTTTACCGATGACCATCGAAAAGAGCAAATTACAGGTAAAATATTACAATTCTTTATAAATCTATCTACTTTTTCTCATTTAGCTTCCAACTATAAAAGATTTTCATTTTCTTAAAACAATTAGTCGTGGTGGTTATGGGTTAGTTAATTTTAATTGTATAAAATTAACCATCAAAATAACTTTTTTCTTTATTTAGACGAGTTTATTTAGCTACAAAGAGAAGTGATGAAAATAAAACAAAATATGCTATTAAAGTTATTAATAAACATGATATACGAAGAAAAAATTTAATTGATCAAAGTAAAACTATATTATTTATTTCTTTTTTGTAATTTTTCTCTATTGAATATAGTTCTTAATGAACGTGATGCATTAGCTACAATGCATAGTCAATTTGTTGTTCGTCTTTTCTATTCATTACAATCAAAAGATGAAATCTATCTAGTTATGGAATATATGATCGGTGGAGATTTAATGTCATTTTTATGTATAAAACAAATACTTGAACGACATGAAGCACGATTTTATACAGCAGAAATTGCACTTGCACTTGATTATTTACATCGAAAAGGTGTTGTTCATAGGTAAAGAAAAACTTTGCTTATATGTTTTAATGAAATTTCTATTATTAAAGAGATTTAAAACCAGATAATGTTTTAATATCATCAACTGGACATATTAAATTAACTGATTTTGGACTATCAGAAATTCGAAATAGACGAAGTATGTTTTAAATATAATACTCATTATTTTTAAAAAATATCGTATTGTAGAAGTTTCTGTTGCTGATGTTATTGGTACACCATCTGTTTGTAAAGTACGTGTTTTTCGTACACCTGGTCAAATTATTTCATTAACATCTGACTTTAGTTTTGTAAGTTTTATTCAAATAATATACTTAGTAATATAAAAATGTTCTATTAGTCATCAAGTGAATCCGATTCTGAACATTTACATATTTCATCGTCAATACATAGTAATCCAGCTAGTGCAACATCCAATGAAAATATTCAAACAAACAATAGTTTACATCGTTCATTTACATCATCACGTATTATTGATTGTAGTTTACGTGTTTATCGGCAACCATTACCATTATGTATACCTGAAAATGAACCGTTATCATTTCGACATGAAGATATTGATGAACATGACGATGCTAGTACAAGCAATGTATCCGATTTTTTATTTTGTAGTCCAAAAGGACGATCACCGACAGCATTACAAACGATTAAACAACAACCACGTATTTATCCAAAAACAATTTCAAGACTACTTGCATCATCACCAGCTCATCAAAATCAATTTCGTTTGTTTCGTGGAATGGGTCAAACATTAAATACGGCAACAACAAGTACATTAGCAATTCCAACATCAGCTTCACCATGTTTATCACCAATTCGCTATTCACTTGATATATCATCTATTAATCATATTCAATCGAATAATATCGATGATGAACCAGTAGAAGTAGCACAACAAATACAACATCGTTCATTACCGGCAGATGAGAGTTCAATAAAGGTTTGTACTTTGAAAATATTTAGTAGATTTAAAATTTTATTTTCTATTTAGTCGGTATGTCTCGCACAAAATATTTCAACAGGTCGAATATTAACTGATGTAACTAATAACACTTCTGTTCGAAGTAGTTTTTTTAAATCACCAATACATCCAAATGTTTCAGGACCTGTTTTGGGTACACCAGATTATCTATGTAAATAGAATTTAAAATATTGATTATTTGTATAAACGAAATAAACTTTTTTTTAGGTCCAGAAATTTTATTACAAGATGAAAATCATAGTAAGTTAAATTTAATTTTTAAATTTCTAATAATAATTTTGTATTATTATTAATCTAGCATCTGCAGTTGATTTTTGGGCACTTGGTATATGTTTGTATCAATTTCTTGTTGGTATTACACCATTTTCAGATGATTGTCCACGTGCAATAATATCGAATATTTTAAATTATCGACTTACATGGCCAGAAGATGATGTTGATAATGAATTAGATGAAGAATCAATAAGCGTTATCAAAGGTTTACTTAGCTATGATCCAAGTTTACGTCTTCAATTAGATGGTAATGAAGGGGAAAAACATTTTTTTTTGTTTTAATTCATATATTTCATTTAGATCTTAAAAAAGAACCTTTTTTTAATACAATTGATTGGGAAAATCTTGCGAATGCACCTGCACCATTTATTCCAATGCCTGATAATGATTCGGATACATTCTATTTTGAAGCTCGAAATCGAGCAATCGGCTTTGATGAAGAATCAGTCGATCATGTATCATTTATGTAAAATGGTTAATTATGTCAGGGCTCGCAACAGTAGATTATCATTTTTTTTGCTTAAAATATGTATAATATACGTGCATGTATTCGGCGCCTCTATTTCAAATGTTTAATCGCCGTCGTCGTCGTTCTTATTGTTAAATATTCTTTTCCTTTTTTTTTGTTGTTCACTCTATCCTATCTCACTTTATTGCTTGTATATTGTACAATTGTATGTTAGATAAAATAACAAAATATTGATTTCATGAAAACCTATAAAAGTTATATTGTATAGAAAGAAACAAAGAGGTTCGTAGTCATAGATGACTTCCGAATGAATGGCATATTATGCCGAGAAAAAGAAAAAGAATCAGTGTATATAATTGTTAAGATGACAGAAAGTAAGCAATAATTTTTATTAAATGTTATTTTAAAACATAAAGAAGTGTATTTACATAGATCATGCGAATAGATTTCTAATGTTATGTAATAATGTTCAAAATTGTTTTATATTAACTGATAATTCGATTTTTGAATTAATGGAATTAAAAGATAAACTTTTATTTGAAAATTTACCTCGAAATGTTTTATTACGAATAACACTTGTTCTATCTCGTTTCTTTCGAATTTATTCTCAAACACAAATATCTATTTATGAACTAATTCATCTTGTTCAATTAAACAGCGATTCATTTCAAATGAAATATATTCTATTAAAAAGATTATATGATAGTAATGAAACTAAAACAAATATGTTTGATATTGCATTAAAAAAAATAATATCGATGGAAGATAATTTAGAACACTATGAACAACAGAAATGTATTGATAATTGGGAAAAAATGTTAGTTATATCAATTGATTTTTTTGCGTAATTAAATACTATATATTCTTTCAGGTATATTCATCTTGCATTACCAAAATCAAATATACGAAAATGGAAATTTCAGATCGAAACATTTCGAGAAGTAAGTAATAATTGAATACAAAAAGAATTTCTTTTCATTATTATTATTATTAGAAAGCCATACTTGGTTATGAACATGTCATTGAATGGCTTCATACAGGAGTATCACGAGTGGCATCAGCAGCTGAAATTCCATGTATTGAAGAATCAATTAAAGATGACGATATTGATCAAGAGGAAATATTTATACAAGAAATTGATGACGATGAAAGACCACAAACTAATCATGTTTGTTTATAGTTTAATATTTTGTATGTGATGTTGATGTTTTATATTTAGGGTTCTGATTACGGTGAGGAAGATGGTAGTTTTCTTAGTAGTGCTGGAACGCACAATACAGAAAAAATTCAACAAGAACCAATGGTAATTACAAGTGATATTGAATTGCAAATACAACCTGATTTAGATGATCAACAAACATCAACAGAAGATATTTTTTCAACGAAGTAAAAACGCTTTCATTTTTATTTTTATAATGATTTTTGTATATCGTAGATCATTGATTTTACGTATATATCGACCGATAGGAATTTTTAAAAGCAAATTTCAATGTATTGTTTATGCTCAAGGGCAAAAATATGTAACAAAAGAATTTAATTTTAATGTAATTATCGTATTTTTCTTTAATCATAATAAAATTTTATTGTTTATTCAGATTTCCAATAGTCTAACAAATGAAAATACAAAGAGTCGAGGACGACTAACTGGCAGTCGAATGAGATTTAGTGAAACTTCAATAGTTTCAAATGATATTGATATTCATACAATTGATAAACAACAAAATGACGAATTTCTTCTCCCATTCTCGAATATTCGTTTGCCATTTCAAAATAATATGGATTCAAATGCTATCAAAATAGATATTCTTGGTGATAATGAACTGTTTGGATCATTGATACTGTCATCTGAAGATTTAAGAATGCTTGTAAGATACAAGTATATATTTTACAACGAATAATATTTTTTTAGGATTTGCCAATCTTGAATAGTCAAACTTCATCACCACTGATTACCGTTGACGATAACACATCGATCAAAAGTACTTCATATGTATTTGATCAATCTTCTAATGAAATCTATCGATCATGGATGTCACATACTCCACAGACATTTCCAATTTATAATGATGAAGATGAATCCATTGCTAGATTACCATTAATTATGTTTTGGTATAATAAAATAGAAAATACTCATGCTACGAAATGCACTAGTAAGACTAGGAAATTCAAAGAAACTTAGAAAATTTCTATTTATAGTGACGAATCAAATTCTGGGAATTCAAACATATTTGAAAATTCCAACTGTAACAAATAACAAACAAAATCGTTCAAAACCAATTAATAATAATATTGAAATTTTAAAAGCAACATATGAAAATGAAATAGATAAAATTCATGAAAAATATCAGTATTTTACTTCAAATTCTTTTAATAGAAAAAACAATGACTCTTGAAATATATATTTAGAGCTAAAATTGACCGATTAAAAAAACTTATTAATGCAAACTTAGCTTATCAATCAGATGAAAATGTATCGAATATAGTACAAGAAGGTGGTGGATTAAGAATAAATATACGGTAATAAAAATAAATATTAATTACGAATAATAATTGATTTTGTTAGACGACAACAACACCCAAAACCTGAAGTTATTACGAAACATGAAGAAATACTTCTGAGCAGAAAAAATTCTCCTAAGAATGTAAGTTACAATCTTCGTACATCAGTCTATTCAAACAGAATTATAAAGTACAATAGAAAGAAAACGATTTCATGTCTGCAAGCTTTTATTAATATGAAAAGCCATAAATTTGTTTATTTTTCAAAAGTTCCTGGAACGTAATCAAATGTATTCACAACAGAGTTTAATTCATCGTCATCAATTAACTGCTAAAATAGAACGAGAAACTGCATTAGCTAATGAACGTCAATTGAAAGTTCAACACCGTTTAAATAGTTCACACCAAAATAATGCATATGACGGTAAGAAAGAAGGAATGGAATTTTCGTTTTAATTAACACTTCATCTTTAAGATTTATGTTTACCTGCTGTTTTTATGCCTACGCATTCGGGTCATGTTTTCAATCCAAGAGCTTATCAATACTTTCATCCGATTGGTAAATAGAAAAATGAAATTCTATATTTGACAGCATATTTATTAAATAAAAATAGGTACAACCGATTCTCGATTAACTCAACCACCATCAATCTTCAATGTTCCACTACAGGCATCAAGATCTGTATATATATATTTATTTTTCTATAATAATCTTTTTTTTTAAATTTTATATTGCATATAGATCTCCGTGTTAAATCTATTTGAATTAACTCGATCATATGGTATTGATAACAACGAAAAAGATCGTATTCTTGACTAAATAATATAGCAACTATCAAACATATTTTAAAACAATAGTTTATTTCTATGTACATGAGATTTATTGTTTTTTGTTTATATACATATATATATATATATATATATATATGCATAAATAAAGTTTAATTGTCATCATATCGGAATTTGTTCATACTTCGTTTAATACTGTCTGGTGCTTTTGATACTGATAAAGGTACAACACGATCAGCTATGAGAACACCTTGTAGTGTAGTTGGAAATGAATCTCGTCTGACTGGTACATCGTCCACATCGTCGACATCATCTAGAACTGGTAATGGTCTTCGAACGGGAAGAGCCTAAAGAAATAATAATAAAATTTAAGAACTAATTTTTACATTTAACTTACAAGAGGAGCTGCAGTATGAAGTGTACGTCGTGGCGGTGAAGGTGATCGTCGTCTCGGTAGTGGTGGTGGTGGTGAAGGTAATCGTCGCCGTGGAGGTGGTGAAGGTGATCTTCGTCGGAGTAGTAGTGGTGAAGGTGATCGTGGTGGTGGTAGTGGTGAAGGTGTTAAGTGTCGTAGTGGTGAAGGCGATCGTTGTGGTAGTGGTGGTGAAGGTGATCGCCATCGTGGTGGTGGTGGTGGTGGTGGTGTTGGTAATCGTGGTGGAGGTGTTGGTGATCGTGGTGGAGGAGTAATTTCTCGAACTTTTGTTACAATTGGAATGGGAGACGCTGATTTTGGAGCAGGCTCTTGAATAGATGGTGATCGTCTACTATTGTCAACAATTGTTTGTAAATAATACATTTCTGGTCCTTGGTTAGTTGGCTTTGGAGAAGGCATCGGTGAAACTCGATTCTTACCAGAAGGTACTCTAGGTGTTGAAGGTTTACGTGGTTGCTCTTCATTTATCGGTTCATCAAATTTTATATAATATAATTCAGGTCCATTTTGAGGTGGGGGAGAAGACATTTTAGCTGATTGTACAGGTGATTTAGATGATTGTTGGACTGGTTCATTGTCAATTTCTCCGTTGTTCAAATGATATAATTCAGGTCCATTACGAGATGGTGGATTTGGCGTAACAGTTACCGGTAAAGGAGATGGAGAGATCGTTTTGATTGGTTGCGGAGGTGGTGTTGGTGATTTATATGATTGTTCAACAGGTTTCGGTGCATCAGTAGTATCTTCAAGTTTTATATAATATAATTCAGCACGATCATTAGACGGTGTAGGCGATGAAGTAAGCTTTTTAGCTGATGATACAGGTGATTGTTGGATTGGTTCATTAATAGGTTCTCTGGTATCGAAATGATATAATTCAGGTCCATTATAAGATGGTGGATTTGGCACAACAGTTACAGGTAAAGGTGATTGAGGTGGGAGTGGTGATTTATACACTTGTTCAACAGGTTTTGGAGTGTCAGGCATTAGTATATCTTCAATTGTATCGTCATTCAAATGATATAATTGGGGTCCTTGAGAAGCTGGTGGAATGTACGTATTGACTGGTGATGAAATTGGTGGTGTTGAATCATTGATTGGTTGATTAGCAGTTACTGCATGATTTAGATGGTATAATTCAGGTCCACCAAGAGATAACGGATAAGATTGTTGAACTGGTGGCGGTGGTGGTGGTGATACATAAGACTGTTTAACTGGCGATGAAATAGGTGGAGCAGACGTCTTCAATGACGCTGGTGGTGTTGATGGCTTGTAAGGTTGTTCAACATACTTCGGTGGATCAATGACTGGTTGTTTAGCAGTTACTGTACGATTTAGATGGTATAATTCAGGCGCATCAAGTGATGATGGATAAGATTGTTGAACTGGTGGTGGTGGCGGTGATACGTAAGACTGTTTAAGTGGTGGTGGAGGTGTTGGATAAGACGTTACGATTGGTGGTGGAGGTGATTTATAAGGTTGTTCCACACGCTGTGGTACATAAGGACTTGGTGCACTGTTAAGTTGTGTCCCATTCAAATGATAGAATTCAGGTGCATCAACAGGCAAAGGTTGATATCTATTAACTGATAGTACAGGTGATGGATTATATCGATTAATTAATGGTGGTGGAGGTGTAGGTGATGGAGACGATCTTGCAACTGGTTGAGTAGGTATTCGAGTGACAGTGGTAACTGGAGTAGGTTCTGGATAAGACTTACGAATGGGTGGTGTAATTGGTTTATACGGTTGTTGAACACGCTTTGGTTCATAACGAAGTGGTCTATAATAAATTTTTCTCTGCGGTGGTGGTTTATTTATATTTTGTGGAGGTGGTAAATTGTAGACTTGTGGTATATCAGGAGTTAAAGGATCATCACTATGAGCTGATGGTGTCGGTGATTTATGTGGTTGTTTATTGTATATTGCTCGATCATTATCTGTGTTGGGTACAACATATATTTCTGTTCTTTCTTTATAAGAATGTCTAACTGGGTTTTGTGACGGTTGATTATAGGTTAAAAGATTTGGTTGTTGACGAACACTATAATTCTTCGCATTTTTTGATAATGATCCTAAAACGAATAGTTCAGGCATCGTATCTGAATTTTTTTTGTTAATGGTTACAATTTTATTTCTTGTTGAGTTCGAAGTGTTTTAATGTTCGTCAAGAACAGAACATTGATTGAAGAAATTTTGCCGTCAGTTTTTTTGCTTACATGCGTAGAATAAATTTGACAGAATGTGCAAAAAAATTGAAAAAGTAAAGCATTCGTCAATAGAAACGAAGTAATATTCAATAAGTACCCGTATGTTGATAGGTGGGTGGACGAAACAAAGAATGAAAATGTTACAAAAAGAAAGTAAAAGAGAAAAAAAATTAAAAGTTGTTTTCTTTTTATTAAGTGATTAAAAGAAAGAAAATTTTTATGTCATTTATTATTTATGAATCATATGAAATTTCATTTAAAATAGAATCCTTATTAATATATTTGCTCAAAATTTATAACAAATAAATCGAATATTAATTGATTAAACGTACGAGTTTTTATTCAAAAATAATATTGCAATTTAGAAAGTAATTACTGACAGGTATCATTATAGACGGCTCGTCAACATTACGATGTGTAAAAATTACTTCCTCTTAACTGTGTATATTTCAATGAAAATTTTCTACACATAGAAACTTGAGTGACACATCTACAGAAAGATATATATATAAAATGACTTCCCACGCATTCCATAATTCATAAATATTATTATTTGATAGATTTATGTAAATAAATAGTTTTGATTACTTTATTTTCGATTGAAAAGAAATATTATAGTTGATTGAATTAAATTGATTTACAGATATATATTTTTCAATCTTCGCCGAAATCTAAAGGGAGCTATAGTCTACAAGCACGCATACTTGTCTGGTCTATGTGACCTAAACATAAATGCTCTTATTCATCTTGATCATAATCGAGAATAAAGATATATATCTCCTCTTTCTGTTAAGTACATCATTGAATAATATTAATATTTTCAGTTATATTAATCTAGACTTGTCTTCCGGATACTTTATATTATTTATTTTTCTTTAGAATAATGATCTTTATCAATCGCATGTTGATATAAATATATTTTTTTTTACTAACTGACGTTACATTTAGATCTTATACCATGTTGATTTATATGTCAAGTTTATTTTTAGTAATTTGATAAAAAAAAATCTTAATCAATATACTAGTCTACGATTGTCAAGATGTTCTAAAATGTTTATGTTAATCGATTACTTAATTTCAATACTTGTTTTACATTGTTTAGATATGAATGGATGACAGTGAACAAATAATAGCGATTCATTTTTTTTTATATACAATGTAGAAATAGATATATGCAATGAATAGATAATTAAATTATCATATAATAGAGACAACGAAGAAAATAATCGATTTCAATGAGCAACAAGTAGTACAGTGTCAAAGTGTTCTATGAATTGACAATTCTTTTCTTAGCATTATTTCTTACGAGAACGTATAAAAGTAGTATTAACTATTCTTTTATGATGTTGACAGAAAATGCACCTACAGTATGGTGTATGCATAATGATATTTACTATGTTCTATGTTAAATAAAGTAATTGCTTAGTAGTTTACATGTTTACTGTGGAAAACTAACATTACTAAAAACTAAGGAAGAGAGAGAGAGAGACAGACAGAGAAAGAATGATCTCAAGCCGATGGGTGTGCAATACGTTCTACTAAGCCTACTAGGCTCTTTTATTCTCGCATTCGTCTTCATATATTTATGACCATCGAGACAACAACGATGCTTAGTTTTAGCCACGCATACAAAAAATCTATTAGACGTTTTTGTCTTATTCTTTCTCCTTATTTGTGTTGGCGCGCTCGCGTTTGCTCTCTCACTCTCATGCTCAGCATCTAAATCTAACATGCTTCTAGCGTTGCCTACGTATAAAGACTTTTCATTCACTTTAGCGCGCTTGTGTGCGTTTGCTACTGAGAACGAGAAAGCACCAAATGTTGCCATGTCCAATCTTCCTTTACTATTCTTGTGATGACGGCAATCTAAAGACAGAATGAGAAAAAGAAGAAGAATAAGAAAGAAAGAAAGAGAGAGAGAGAGGGAGAGAGCGAGAAACAATCCATTCTTCGTTCATTCATTTGGTAGCAACGCAAATCATCTAAGGCAAGACTTTGAGATTTCTTTACTTTCACTTTTATTCTCGTCGAAAAAAAACTTTAAGGAAAACCATGAAGATTCTATTGATAGTCGCAATAGTAATGACGATCATTGTAAAAATCAATTAAAAAAAAAGATGAATGCAGAACATCTATATATATATATATTTATAAATATATATATATACATATTAACATCACTTTCCTTTTCGCTTTTAACGGCGACGATAGCAAGCAACGTTCATTTAATAGATTCCAGAGATTTTCTTCTTCTCTTTATGTTCTCTCGGTTTTTTCCACTGTGCATCAGCAACAGTCAAAGCAGTAAGGCAAAAAAGAAAAAAAAGAAGAAGAAGGAGAAGAAGAAGAAGAAGAAAAATAGTTTCCTCTCTCTAGACTCGCGTTTTTTGGGTATATGTGTGCATTCATGCAGCCAACTGCTATAATCACAATCAGATAGTGTAGACAACTATAAGATATGAACATTGATAAATAAACAATGCTAATGATAAGAAATGTAAGTATATAATTTCTAATAAATTAACTGGTTTTCTTTTTCTTTTCTTCTTTTGAAAATGAATATTCTATGAAAAATTCTTGAAAAGTTTATACTTGTATCCGACTAATAGTACTATGTAAATGTGTGTTCATTGTGATAATAATAGCACGAGAAAAGATCATGGATGATATAGGGTTAGCTAGAAAAGGCACAGCTCATTTGAGACGGACATCCGGTTGGGTTCCAATGTTTGAAAGGCCTCAATGAATAAAAAAGAAGGCTTCAAAAATGAACATCGAAGATAAAGAGAGAGAAACTTTTTTTTCCTTTGTTCTTCTTTTGTCATTGATCCGCCTTAGTCGCCGTAAAAAAATAACCTAGAATATGTCGATTTTGTTGACCTCTATAATTTGTTTCATTGTTGTTCAAAAATTCGAAATAAGAATGATTAATTCTTAAAGCGATTCTTCGAAGAAGAAGAAAAAAATACCGGCATTCATTGTTCGCCTTCTCGGCCAATTATGTGTCAAGAACTTTTTTCCCATAAGAGAGATATCTAAACAACTCGTACGAATGAATGTAAAAGAAGATTTATTTACACATCAAAATATGATTCAGCATTTTTTATTATGATTATTACTCGATTCGTTTTCCGTTTGGGAGAGAATTTTTTGTTTCCTTGTTATACTTATTCTTTTCTCTTTCTTTTTTCTGTTCTCATTCTTCATTTTCTCAGTTTTGTATTTGACACATAGAAAGCTGTGTATTCATGAAAACTTGAGTATAAACGTCAATTCCCAAATGAATATTCGTGATGTAAGTGAATAAGAGAAAGAAAAAAAAAGAAATGATAGATAGTCTAGTTAATGATAATGTTTGGATTAATCATCTTGCTTTCTCTTTTTTTTTATATAAATAATAGATCAACTATTCACAATTGATCAGATTTTATACACGAGATAAAAACCATTAAAAAATATTCAATATATACATAATTATTTAAAAAAAAATCTATCAGAATATTTATTAAGTCTATTCAAAATTAATTACTTCTTTACTAAATATTTACATCGTTCTATTTAAATATAACAATTTAAGAATTACATAATTTAGTCTATATATTTATTCTAGTCTTGTTGTAAAGATATCTATTTCATCTAAGTAAGTACACTGTGAACACTTTTTTTTTTATTATCTCCATATAATAAATATAACTCAAACATTCAGAGATGAATGAACAATTTCATCATAAGTTTAATAATTAAATAGCAAAAAAAAACTTTCTTATTAATTAATTTTTAGATAAGAATAATGATACTATATAATTAAATGGCATATTTTACACGTTTTGTTTCATTTGAAGATAAGTTCAATACGAAGTATGGATTCGAAAAAATGAATATTCTTTCTTTTCATATTTTTCTATGTTTTGTTTTAGCTTATTTACGTTTATTCTTCCAAGTTCATTTTTATTGGGAACAGAAGAAAAATTAATAACACGAGAATTTTTCTGTCGAAATATTCCATTTGTATTAACATTTGTTAAAAATGGTGATCAATTGAATGCATTTCTACTACATCGTAGTCGTGATACAGAAGCACTTGAAATGACACTTGATTTAAGTGTTACATTATTATGTCGTGAACATTTTACACGTAATGAATCATTCATTGAGAAAGCTTGTAAATTTACAAATAAAGTCACATTACATGGACGAAAATCTTTTACATCAATAAATCGTTTATGTTCAGTTGATTTTATGGATGAACGTGGAAATATTCAATGTGAACTTGAAATAAAAAATCTTCTTGTTTCATATTTAACTGAAATACAACTTCCACCACAACTAATTAATCCACAATATGCACATGTTCAATCAGCAACAAATCGACAACCATTAGATGCTAAAATCGAAACACCATCATTTTATTATTCCAATTATGAATGGTGTGTTGTTATACAACCTAAACTTGATAGTGTTGGACAACTTGGACATTTTCGATTATTTATACAACGTTTAACACCATGTGATCATTCAGTTAAATTAACATATCGTGTTAAAATAACAGCTGGAACATTTATATGGGATCCAAATCAAGAAAAAAAATTAACGAATCCCAATGATACTAATCTATATGAAGTAAATTATACCGATATTCATGGTTTATGTCGACCATATAGAATTGATCGTGTACGTGAATTACTTCAAGCTAACGGAAAATTTACACTTACTGTTGAACTTAAAGATGCTGTTAGTAAGTATTTTACCAATGAATGAAAAAATAATCGATACAAATTATAATTTTGTTTTTTCGTATATTTAGCTGTCTTCCCAATTATTGTCGATCCATTTGTACCAAGTCCTATTCCAGTACCTTTTCTTGATAAAGATCAACAAGCATGGACTGTTGAAGCTTATATTGAAGAACAGTGTTTTATAATACGTCTATATTATTCGGATATATTTAAAATTCCAGCAAATTATTTACGTTCAATATGTTTTAATATAACTGTACGGAATCATCGTGATACAAAAACAACTACAAGTGTTTTTCAAAAACCTGTTACAAAATATTATTCACAAAAAGATAGTGATGAAGGTTTAGAAATTAGTACAACATTAGATGTTGAAGAAGTTTGTTTTAGAAAACAGAAAAAGAAATTTTTAATTCTATATATATTTTTATTTTAAGTTAACTGAACGTGGTTATTTAAATGATCAACATAGTGTAACAATCGAAATTGAAATCTTTTTTTCACATCTAATGTTTGCACCTGAATATTCACCACTCGATGATATTGTACGCAAACAAAAACAACAGATTATGTATGAAGTTTATTTTGTACGAATATTTTTAAATAAGAAATAAAATTTTAGGCGTGAATTATTAGCAGCTCAAAACGAAAATTTTCAATTAGAAAAAAAATTACATGAATTACAAATGACAATACAAAATCCATCTATGGCTAATCGTCTTTCTGATTACGGTAATGGACCAGCATCAGCAGGAGTTCCTGGTGGTTCAAGTACACCAGCAACACCTGATGTTGTTCGTAAATATTATGAAAGAAAATATGGTGAAAAAGGTTCAACAACAAATTTACTTGCAACAGGTACAAATAATCCACCATTATCAACGCAAAATAATACGCCAAGTTTTGATGCTGGTCAAACAAATCCAAAAACATTACCTGTACGTAATGGAGCTGTACCTAGTAAAGCTGCAGCAGCAGCAGCAGGTGTACCACCACCTAATGTTACGGGTGGTGCAAGTGGTTCAACCACTTTCAATCTACGAAATAAATTACCAAATTCTATACAAAATACAATAGCAAATACAAGTCAATCATTACAATCAAAATTACCAGCTAGTTTACAAAAGCTACCAGCAAGTTTCACACAAGGACCAACAATGAATATGCTTGCAAGCAAATTTCAAAATGCTTTTTCTTAGATATGTTTTGTGTTAATAGAAAATAAATATATATATTTCTATATGTTATTTTGTGTGTATATGTATGTGTACGATACCATTCCTATATTTTACCTATTCTGTGATCCCTTATGTATTTCTAAACGAATTTTGAAGGAAACGAAAAAAACAAATAATCAGACAAAATAAGAATACAAATGAAAATTAAAGAATTACAATATCCTCTATTATTATTATCAGACTAGACTATGTTTAGATTAAATCAATAGTATATTATTATAATTTGTCTAAGTATAAGTCTGGATATAGATTTTTTTTTGTAGGAATATACTGACATACCTCGTTTTTTTCATATTAAAAATAAGACTTATTTTTATGACTATCGTACTTAGATGTTTCTGATGTTCTGTTAGATTTCTAATCTAATTGAACTGTCAAAAAAATATTTTTTTAAAAAGTGCTCGAATATCCTAAAGAAACATCTATAAAGAGCCGTCTAGTACAAAAGAACATTCATTTTTCCAGTTATGTTGATTTCTATTAGTAGAATAAAAGTACTTATATATTTATAGATTTATTAATAATATAAAAGTATAATATTCATTTCTGTCTATTGTTTATCAGAATTTAATTGAATTGTTTTTCACATAAATAAAATGTCATGTATTCGTTAATATATATATTTCAACAAAAAAATCATTGGAGAATAAAATATATTCGTAAACATTCTTAGTAGATCAATGATACGTAAAAAATAACAAAATATAAATCAAATCATTGTATTACGCAAAGAAAGAGTAGATATTATTGTAACATTATATTTTATTAAGGCATGTCGTAAGATTAAAAATCTTTTTATTGCATACAGTAGTGTTGAAATGTGATATTTATCTAAATATTTACTCCCGTATATGTGAGAATACTTGACAGTTGGTATTTTTTTCTAAGGTTTCATCTTAATACATTTTTTCCAATTTAAAATAATAAATTTCAATATATACTTGAATTTTTCGATTAAAAAAAACATCAACACCCTCCTACGATTTTTCTTGGTGAATTCCAACTTTTAACGATCGTCTTTTTTTCAATAAATGTCATCGAATTGAGTCATTGGAATATTCCATAACACTGAATCATAACGGTATGATGAGATTTACATTTTAAAAAGATATGTGTACGTGTACAATAAAATGAATCATTCCCATAGATGAAATCGAGATGATTTACATTTTACTAATCTGTCATGACTAATTTGAAAGGTATGTCTGAGTCTAGTCGAGAAAGAAAAGTTTAAAAGCGATAGGAATAAGACCCTCGAGTGTGGGTGTGGGTGTGATTATTTTTATTTTCAATCCACACCCACATCCACAGTCACACACGCACTCATTCACAAACCCACATCCTTCCTCACCTAAGAAAAAGCATATAATTTAAATATCACATCATTATTTTATTTAATATAAAAAAATATTTAATTCTTGTTTTTTACAACAAAAAACTGGATTCTTGAGTTGATCACGAAATGCGAATAAAAAAAATAAACAGATACTGTACAAAAAAATAAAAAAATCTTGCCTAAAAAATACTATTAATTTAAACAGAACTTTATTTCTTATTGGTAGCATTTTTGGTGTTATTGATTATATCTGATTGAGATTTTGGTGTAATTGGTGTAGTTGGTTCACTTGGAGAATCACGTTTCTTTTCAGTAGATGTTGAAGTTTTTGTCTTTTTTGGTTTAGTTTTTACTGTTGATTCTTCTTTATTATCATCCGGTACTATTGTTTTTTGTTGTGTATTTTCTTCTGTTGGAGTATGAGCTTCATTCTTCTGAGATTTTTTTGGTTTTCGTTGAGCATCATCAGTTGTTTCAGATGACTTAGATTTTGGTTTATAATCGATGTGATAAGTTTGTGCCCAAAAATCAAGATCTTCTATCGAATTTTGTTTAGCGTCAATATGTTCAATAAGATCATCAAAAAGTGTATTTTGTTCATCACAATATTCCGATGAATGAGCAGCTAGAGAAAATTCAAGTAAAGTTTCTCGGATTTGATCTAATCGTTCTTTTTCATAATCTCGACATTCTTTATAGATTTCAATTCCTTTCTCACGATAAATTTCTTGTTCGCGATCATAATCTTTTTCTGTTCGAGTTATTTTTTCTTGAATATCTTCTAATTCATATTGCCGTTTTTCTTGAGTATCTTTTGCTCGTGTTACTTTGTTTTTACTTGCGGTAGGATCTAAACCAAGATTTTCACATTGAACATCAGCTTCATGAAGAGCTTGTTTTGCTTGTTTTTCTTGTTCATGTAATTTTTCAAGTAGATCAGATAATTTGGATAACGTTGATTGAGCTGCTTTAAATGCTTTTCTGATGTGATCTGTTCGATAATGTTTGTGAGACGTACCTAAACGTTCACTTGGATACATTCGTTCAACTTGTCCTTGATATGTATCAATAACTTGTTGAATAGCATCACAACGAGATGTTATAAGTTGAGCAATTTTATCGGGTAAATTACTTGTTTTAAGTTGAGCACGTTTTGTTGTATGATAAGATGATAGAGATAGTTGTTGTTTTATTTTAGATGACCATTTATTTGAATGTGAAGTAAGAGAACGAGCATATTCTAGTTGAAGATCATTATAATCTTGCATATATCCGATCAAATTCATACAGATTTTATAACCTTCATCCAAGCATTTAATAATTGACTGGTAGTTGTCTTTCGTAAAGAAAGTTTCATGAATGTATTCGTTAGATTCGTATCCACCGTCGGTAGTAATATTAGAACGAGTAGAACGAATTGTATCTTTAAGTCCATTTAATGTCGGACGTTTGATAGAATTGGTGTGGCGCAATATTGCGGATTTGAAACCAAGTGGCATAATTATTAGTGTAAATTGGAAATAATCGACCTACAGGTGAGTTGATAAATATTGAAAGTGATTGTAGTGGGTTATTACATGGGTATTTATAGGGTTTACAGTTTTTGTTCTCTTTCCAAAAAAGAGAGAACAACAAAAAAAATGAATCATTCTCCTCGAAAAAGTCTGCGATAAGCAACGATTAAAAACTTTTTTATCGTTTTCAGCAACAAAAAAATGCACTTTATCGTAATGACGCAATATTGCATAAGTGTAATTGCGTAATATTTTGTGATTCAATCAGTTTTTTTTGACACTCAATTCCTAGAATTGATATTTAAAATTGAAGATTGAGGTACCCACTCAAATCTTGCGTCATATATGTTGTGTTGGCAATAGAATCAAACAATTAATGACTCATCAACTCTGTCATCAGACAGAACACGTAGAACAGTTAGTAAGAACCAAATGATGCATCCATAACGAAAAAAAAGTTTGTTCTATGTTTTTATTTGTATATATCAGTAACCAACACAAAGCAATAACAAAAAATAAAAAGGAATTTTGTTTACTAGAAACAGAAAAACTAATCAACACAAATATAATTCATTCCTAGATACATACACAAAAGAAAATTTTCTAATTCAATTTTACATGCAAATGCTTTTTTTTTATAGAACTTCTATTTAATCTTATTACTAATTTAGTTTTATTTGTATAATTTTCTGTCACATAATGTCTAGTATGTAAAATATGCTACTCGACATTTTTTGTGTAGGTGTTGTTATTATATTGCATTATTCTCTTACTGATAACGTTAATATTTACAATAATAAGACATGTATGAGTAAAAGTCAAGAGCGATTGTGTGGGAGCTTTTGATAAAGTAAATATTTGTCTCGAGTATCATAAACGTCTATATAAATAGTATATATAGTTTCAATATTACAAATTGTTTAAATAGTTACTCTTTGTGGAGATTGAAATTTGACCTAATAAGTCATTTATAGAGGATCTTTAGTTTAAACTTATTTATTTGTCACTGTCTACTCTCTCGTTTTCGACTACACGTAAATAGCTTAAATATTTGATTATACTGTGTATATTTGTTTCATTGAACAACAATTTATTAGTGAAATAAGAAAAAATGTCAATTGGAAATAATCGTAAACCTATCAACTGATTCGACTTAACGTGAAGAGATTTTACAAACAAGGCTAAAAAAATACACCTAAGCATGTTTAGATGGCATGAAATTTTTAGGATATGTTGTAATTATGATGAAGCAGCTATTATAACATTTTTAGTTCTGTACACTGACGCCTGGTTGAGGTATTGAGCAAACAAGAGTTAGAAATGGCTCATTTGATGTATTTAAATTTGCTCGTGTAAGAGAGCATGTCAGAATGTGGCGTGTGACAGCACTCGTTTTTTAAATACTTACGTTCTTAGTAGAGAAAGACAATTATAAGTTCAATGACTTAAAAAAACTCTCAAGAGCTGGGTGCCTAATTAAATAAATGTCTATATAAATAGTAAAAGTAAAGCTTATTTTAAAAAATGACTCTACTGAGTACATATCGACAAATCAGATAGTCAGGATACTATCGAACAGATGACCGTAGATAAACAGTTTTGAATGATTTGTTTGAAGTCACAATGCCCAGGTTTAAATAATGTACAATTTATTCTTACAAAGAGAATTATTTTGATGGTGCATGTAACTCGAACATTGGTCTGATATTCCTGATATACAGAGAGCAATATTCTTCGCCCATGGTTAGTCAAACAGAAAATGACAATAAGTGAAAATAAGAATGGCAGTAATCTTGCCAAACGCAGTAACATTTCCATCTGCTTCTTCTTTCATTTTTCTTTTGATTTTTTATGAATAACTATACAGTTGTTGCACTTAAATCTTCAGGAACTTTTTATTGAATTCATGTGTATATAGCTCACAAAACAACAAATAATTGACTATTTTTATTTTTAATAAAAAGAATCACTGCATATTTTGTTTTGACATTCAAAAATCACGCTTAAAAAAAAGTAAAAAAATAAAATCTATTCTACTATCTTGTTATATTTTAATTAATTGTATTGGAAGTATACGAACCCGAAAATGAATCTTTACATGAATAATATTTTTATTATTTATTCTGGTACATGTTGTATAGTATAAAATAAAAGGTAAGCTTTTGGATTTAAATGTAATCGATCTAAATCAAGATATTTTGCTATTTCATCGTCGTATTCAAACCATTGTGGTTGATCGTAGGAAAGATCTCGAGAAAATGTTGTATAATGTCCATCATTTAATGAACCATTATGATTCACAACTGAATAAAGTGTATATAATGCTTGTTCAGAAGATGGTGAAGAAGAATATTGATGTAAATCAAGATTATCCTCAGGATATAGTACTAAACTTTCATCTTTAATCCATCGCATTTCGGAATTCATTTGAAATCTATATCAAATTGTTAAATTTTCTAAACATGTTTTAATTTATTTTTACCGTTTAAATTGAATTATTAAAATTTTTGGTAGTTTATGAATTTCTAAACGTTTCTTTGCATTAGAATGACACTGACATTTAGAACCTACAAAAAAAATATATAAATAAATAAATTCATATATCAAATTTATTTTAAACCTACAAAACCATTTGGAATCATCATCGGTTAAATATTCATCTTCATTAAGTGATTGAAGACAATCTTGTAATGTACATTGATTCGTTGATGGAATAGGAAGAGTAAGACAAACAAATGATTCATAACTAGAAGAAGTATGCATACATTGTAGACATGTAATTGTTGATTTATAAATGCCCTTGATAAGCAAAATTAGTTAAAGATATTTTTATTATAAATATTTACATAGAATAAATCAACAATAATTGAATTCTTATTTATTTGACCAAATAAATTATAATCAATTTCTTCATCTATACATTGTGTCTATAATAATTAAGAAAATAATTTATTATTTTCATCCTATCGATTATTCATACTCTATTCAAATCTATATGTAAATAATCAAGTAAAAGTATAAGAAATTCATGTGCATCTTGCTGTTGATTTTCCAAATAAGCATAATTTATATGACCAATTATTTGTTTCAAAGGTGCTGGTGTGATAATACTATATTGACCACAACGTATTAAATATAAGAAATTCAAATATTCATTAATAATTATTCCTTTGAAAACTAATGAATCTTGATTGTATAAAAAATAATTTGTTAATAATGAAGTTAACGATAAAGATTGTAAAATTGAATTCATATAGCATGTTCCACCAAGGTTTTTCAATCCACATAAATTTTCTATTTGTTGAGTTGTATTAGAAATTGCATGATAGTCTTGCGTAATCTGCTTATAAAGTTGATCATCACGTATAATAGATTTTTTTCTTGATAATTGATTTAATATGGAGGTCGGTACTTCTCGTGAACTGACATAAAACAAGAAGATTATGAATAATTAGTACCTATCTAAAAAGTTGATTATAGGTTAATTGACTAAGTCATATATATATATAGATTACAGACATAGGTAAGATCGTCTTGGAAGTGAAGTACTATAAACGTACATTAGACTAATTTCGTTAGATGTTTATCCTAATAATAAGTCTCACGTATTTCTATTAGTAAGTCCATGAGACCCATTAACATCTTCATAGGCTATGACCTAGAAGATAAGATATAGTATATTTTGCTACTAAATGTATAATAGTGCCTATATCTATCGAAGATAAGGAAATGTCAAATAATAAAGTTTTCCGAAAGTATTTTTCTTATCAATATGAACAAGAATAAGATATGCTTACCTTTCTATTATTTCAAGATTATAATTCTGAGAATAATTATTATCCCAAAATTTTCCTCCATTAACACAATAACAAATTGCAAAAGACATCTTTAATGACGATGATGATAATAATTTATCTTTTGGTACAGTTAATTTAAATTGAAATAAATCTGTATTATTATCGGCATAGTGCATTATATAATGTGCATTTAACACAGAAAAAGTCTTCCATTGATCAATAGTATAATGTACAAAAACTCGTTTATCAAATGAACAATTATTAACTCGTATAGTTCCATATGCTGTTAGATTTCTTGTAAAAATATCTTCCAATACAACTAGATTTTTACAAACTCGATGAAGTAGATTTCTTGGATATTGAAAATTATCTGGCATACATAGGTAATATTTGCCATTGATACGTTGCTGTTCGCATGATAAACTCATATTCAATTTATGCAAATTTTACCAATCACTACACACACACACCTACTAAAATTTGTTTTATATAACTATCTAAAATATATTAAGTGCATTGATCTTGATGGTTATTCAAATAGATTTTTATTAATAATATGACCTAGAATTCAGTAGTGTGAAACTAAGTGTCTACTAGTCGATTTCCGCTCTTATAAGAATAGATTGTATATTATTTCTTTTGTTCTCTTTAATGGAACAGTTTTCCTGTATGGAAATAAGTTAAGCTTGTTTCGAATATATATATATTTTAAAAGATTGTAGTAATGTAAAATCAAAAAAAAAAATAAAACAAAATA